ACAATACAAACAGAAAACTAAATATTAAAATTAAAGTAGAATGCGTCTTATGGAAATAGTACAAAAAAAAAAAAAAAAGGGCCTGGACCTACGAAAATTTAAAAATAATACATTCGGAAAGTTTTAATTAAAGAATGGAAATAAAGAAAGAAATGGATACCGAAAGGATAATATGATCTTTTATGGAAGAACAAATGCAATAATGCAAGAAGGAAGAAACGTCAAAACAAGTGATCGTTATAGAATCAAAGTTTTGCAAAGCAAAGTCTAGATAAAATTAAAAAAAGAGAGACCGTTATAAATTACAATTAATTAGGAAATGTAAAATGCCAATAAAGAATAACTGTAATTAAATAGCAAGAAAGGATTTTGAGCATTAGTAGAACACCATGTTTGAATTAAAAAAAGAGCTAAGACGCTAGAAGAAGAAACATTGAATGAAAGCGTAAAAAAACGAAGAAATTAATTTTAAAAATTAATTCCAATTCGTGTAACAACAAATTTTTTACTTGCGAGAACAAAACAATTTGTTATTAATTTATTAACATACAATGAATCAAAATCGAGAGATGAAATAAACAAAATTTACGAAGAATAAATTAATTGTAATAGTTCTAGAAGGAAAACCAATAAAATACTTGAAGAACTAAGTGCTATGAGTGCGGCTAGTACAAGTGCAGATTCTAGTGGCTGAAGGAGCCAAACGGAAAGTACATAATTACACCATAACAAGAATCAAACAGACATGAAGGAAATAAACAAGAAATTTGATTAAGATCATATATAATCTCTATCGTTAATTATCTTAGCGATTTAATCTCGTATATAATCTTTGTCGTTGATTATCTTGGTGATTAATTTCATATATTATCTTTATCGTTAATTATCTTGGTAATTAATTTCGATGATGCTAAATATCGTTACACGTCGTAAGATAATTATCGAAAATTATCTTATTTCGTTGATTTTCGATTTTTTTTAATTGAGATAATAATAATAATAAATATCGACAAATGATGTATCTCAATATTTATCCCCTAAAAAATTTTCTGATGAAGGCAGCGAAGTATCACGTTAACTCATTTGTAACATATATGAATTGATCGACATGGGGGTTCTAAATCGATTGTTGCGCGATTTTTTTGTCTTTAAATGAACTGCATCATAACGATCTGAAAATTTCATTAATTTTTGCTTAACATTTATAAAACGAATGTCCATTATGTATTTTAAAGGCAACTGAAAGAGATCTTATGTTATTAATTAATAATTAATACTAGTTATTTATGCATTCATACACACTCATAAATCAAATTTTAATAATATGTTATTATATGAACATTCATTAATAATAAACAAATCCCAGATTAATATTCTTATGATTAATACTATGGTTGTTATGGTTTGAACAAAAATATATCGATATCAATTGCATCTTGTGGGAATTTACAAATGTGATTTTAAAATTTTAACAATAAAGTAATAATTGATAACGGAATATTTTAGGAATATATAATTACACCCTCACAGCCTTTTTTAAGGAGTTGTTGCAATATTTACACCGAACTAATCTACATTTGATTTAAAAATAAATAGAAGGAAAATGGGCAATTTAAAATTATTTTTATTTTTCGAAAAAATTATTAAAAAATGTTTGAAGATTCAAATAAGTTATATGTTGAAATCACTGGCTATATCTCAATATTTTGTTGGGTTGTAGTATTAATGCCGTAAGTTATATCTACTACATTCGACAAAACAAACACATAAATATAAATTAATTATTGTATGCAACATATTTCTTTCGATAAATTAGACAATTATATACAAACTATAAACGAAAGTCTAGCGATTCGCTATCTCTCGTTTTCCTATTTATATGGCTTGCCGGAGATGCTCTAAATCTACTTGGTTGTATATTACAAGGCCTATTACCAACAATGGTAAGTATAGATCTTTCATTTGTAAATATATAAATGCATAATATAATGTATTCATAAATTTATTTATATTTAGATAATTCTTGCCAGTTATTATGTTTTTTCCGATTTTGTTTTGCTATTTCAAGTATTCTATTATCGGAACAAACAACCAATTGAAGAAGATGTAAGCACTTCTACAATATTAGAAGAAACATCACCACTTTTACAAGAAAACTTGTCATCATTATCAGCAGGACATGGCAAAAGAGTTAAAAAAGTTATGTTTGCTTTTGCTTTGTTTATCGCTTGCTTTATTGGAGTCACCATTTACTACATTTCTTCTCGTTCACAACAAATCAGTAATGGTGGTGATAGTAATATTTTGAATGCCTCAGAAATTAGTATTCTATCACAACTCTTTGGTTGGGCAAGTGCTATACTTTATTGTAAGCTTTATAAATATTTTATATATATGATATTGCATGAATGGGCGATTTAAATTGATTATGTAATTATTTAGTGAGTTCAAGAATACCTCAAATCAAGATGAATTTTGACTCAAAATCAACAGAAGGCTTATCATTTGTAATGTTTTTTTTTAGTGTAATGGGTAATGTTTTTTATTGTTTGGTATGTCTTTTTTTGTTTTTTCTCTCTATGAAAACTATCATTTTTTGTTTTTGAAATTAAAAGATCATACTAATTTATCTCTTCTTTTTAAATACACACACATTAAATAAATTAGTCAATATTTCTCTATTCAACAGATTATGACTATTTATTAGAGAATTTACCTTGGATTGTCGGAAGTGGAGGAACATTGGGTTTTGATTTTATAGTAAGTTGATTAATATTGTTATTACTATTATTAATATAATGTAGATATATTTTATTAACTTGTTTTGTTTTTCTTAGATATTTGCTCAATTCTATTTGTATAGGAATAAAAATGGCATTAATAATGTTCAAAATTCATCAAACACAGCATTTCCTTAATAATTAAAGATTAATTTATTTTAATATTTATTGTTGTTATATATTATCATCATTATCATTAAATTCGTTGTTCTTATTCAAATTCAAAATAAATCAACAGTCAACCCTTGTTTATATCCCTTTTTTTAGGAATAAAAACAAATCACATGACAAATTTATTTATCATTTAGTTGTTAATACACAAAAAACTTTATCTAATTAAGAAATAAAAAAATAATTCTAAAAATTTAAGAATTAGATACTAAGATCTTTTTATACATTTGAGAATTATTTTAGCTTTCGATTTTTAATACAGCCATTAATTTAATATAGCCATTTAATTCAACATATTCTTTAATTCAACATACTCTTTATTTTACCACAACCCTTAATTAACACAGCCTTTTTTAGTTCAAGCATGCTTTTTAACTGAAGATTTTATTTAATTCACCATAGCCTTTTTAACTCAACACATTCTTTAATTAGATCAGCAGTATCTATGAACTTGGAAACTTCAGCAATGATGATAATAATAAAGAACCATTAATAAAAAAAAATAAAAAAATGCAATGCAATAATGATTAATTTAATCAATATCATCAAGAAATCGATGTTTTTTGCAGCGGCATGTCAAGTTCAAGGGACATCATCACAAATTCATTTGTCATACAACCAACAACAACAACAACAACAGAATTGTCAGATCCTATATTACTTTAACAAATACAACTAGTCTTGTTGGCCTTTTTGATAGTTTTTTTGGACTATGATTGAGGATCAGAAGAATTTTCTTCATCAGTTCATCACAACAATTTTCAAATGGTATTTGTTAATGATGTTATCATCTTTGAATTTATTTGTGGTTGTTTAGACAGCAATGTTTAAAATCATCCATAAAGGCTTATTGTTACAATCTGTTAAGACCTTACCCGGATTAGGTGTGTTAACGGGTTGACGGATTGTAACATCAAAACCCTATAATAATAAGCTAACTGTAATCCGTTAACAACCCGTTATTATTATGCAAAATTGCTTAATGTTAACCTGTTACAACCCGGTAATCTGTTAACTACCGGGTAACTCATTCTACGATCGACAAACATGGGTTGGATAATTATAATATTAATATATCCCTCTATAGGCAAAACCTTTATCCGTGACGACAAATGGATAAAGGTTTTGCCCTTTCAGAAAATGTCTGAATTATCTGCATTAACAACCAGTTAACTCGTTAATGATAATAATAATATCAATATTACAATCCATTGATCCGTTAATATTAACAACAATAATAATATTGATTTTTTTTTATGCTGAAGTGAGGACTTTTTGACCATGTTTATTTATTTAATACATTATGAATTCTACCTATTACTATTAATATCACAATCCTTCAATCCTATTAAGAAAACATTAAATTATTTTCAATGAAAAGAAAATTTTTAAACAATACAGCCTAAGCTCTCTATAATGAACACTAAGTAAAATCTCTCTATAATAACGAACTTCCCTTTTGTCCCAATTCAATTTTTTATAATTAATTTCTCTTTTTATGATGAACATCTTAATAAACTTCTCTATAATGAAACAAAAGCAGAAAAAATACATATTGGGGATAGGTTCAGTATAAAGAGTTTAAGCTGTATAGGGAAACATGTAAAAGAACACGGGTGAAACCTAATTTTTTTAAAAAAATTATGTTCTTAGATCACAACTTGAAAATTCATCTCCAAATTAAAATAAAAATTAAATTATAAATATTTTATTATTTTAAATTCCAACAAATAAATGTTTTTGATTTATTAAATACCATATTATTAATATTATCCAATAATATTTGCTATTTTAACGGATTAACCCGTTACCAATTTGGATCCTAATATTAATACTAACGGATTCTTAACATGTCCATAACGTTAATCCGTTAACAACCCAGGTCGTAACACTAATATTAATATTAATATGGTTGTGCAGCTTCCACGTGATCAGAGAAAATATCCACCATAACAAACTTTTACTATCTACTATTTAAAATTAAAAATTTATTATTATTTCTACAATTATTATTAAAGTCCAAAGCCCCAATTGTTCATCACAAAAAAGCTAACTTTTGAAATAATTAAAAAAAAAAGTATATCAAATAATTTATTAGTCTTGTACAAGGTTAATTAATGGCAGATAGAAATCAATTCATTCTATTAAAAATACCTGAATAATAGTTTTTTTCCAAGTCAAGAATCCAAGGTTTCAAAGATTTCTCTAAATCATTATAACCGTCCTTGAAAATTTTTTTAGTGATTTCCTCCCTATAATCTTCTAAATTTGTTTATTCATTAATTTGGGTGAAGTTAATATATTACATTTATGAGTTAATTCAGCGAGTGTCATTGCAATTGGTAACAATAGCAGTAGTAGTAGCAAAATAAATCAAACTTTACTAAATAATAATAATTTTAATATTAATATACAGAAATATCCAGTTGTTTAGGAGACCCTATTCACAATTTAATTACTTTAACTATTATTTTAAAAACAACCCTCAAATAATAATAATATTATTATTAATTTTACTGCTTTTATTTCCAAGATTTTTAATGATGGGTGGTAGAGGTTTTAAGCTAAATTTATCACATTTCTTTTGCCATTTTCATTCTTTTTTATTTACTGAAATACTTGGCATTGTTATTGTTGAATTGTTACCAACTCCCACCAGATCAAAACTATATGGCATTAATGATTTCTCCGCAGGAATTTTCTCCTTTGTTTTGTGTGAATTATTATTAACAGTGTTAATTCCCAGATCAAAACTATATGGCATTAAAGATTTCTCTACAGTAATCTTTTCTATTGATTTATATTTAATTATTATTAATGGTGTTAATTCCCAGATCAGAACTATATGGCATTAAAGGCTTCTCCACAGGAATTTTTTCTGTTGACTTGTATGAATTATTATTAATGATATTAATTCCCAGATCAAAACTATATGGCATTAAAGATTTCTCTATAGAAATTTTCTCTATTGATTTATATGAATTAATATCTACGCTGTTAATTTCACCTTCCTCAGGAAACTCATATTAGTAATAGTTGAAATAGATTTATCTGAAAATGTTAAAGTTGATGTATCCATTATAAATCAACAGGAATGTTTAATATTAATGAGACGTAAAAAATTTTTTTACCAATAATAATAGTCGTGGGACATTGCAGATCAAATATCACTCAATATAAACGTTACACGATAAAAATTGTTATTAAAAAAAACAAGTTTTTAAACGAAAACATGACAGTGAGCTTCGTGTCCTTTACTCACACAACGACATCACTGTCAAGACAATAATAATCTATTTTATTAATTCAAAAAAATACAAATAGGATGGCGATCCCCACATTTTTTTTCGTTTTTTTTTTATAGAGAAATTCCTCTCAGGCCATTTCAGTAGGGATGGGTCGGTTTCGCTAATAAACGGTTTGAACTCGGTTTTGAAACCAACCCCTGGTTTTTTTTTGGTTTGGTTTTTGGAACCGTTCAAACCGTTCAAACCGGTTACACATGATCAACATGTGACACAAATAGTTTATTAAAATTTAATTTATTTAAAAATATCGTTAAATATAAATGATAAGAATAATATTATATATCTATCCTATATAAGTATAAAAAATTTGTATTTTAATAATCTCCTATTTTATTAATAATCCAGCTTTTCATACATAAACATGCTCTTGCAGTTTCTGGCAACAAACGATTTCGAGTTTTACTAATTGTATTTCCAGCAACTGAGAATGCCTGTTC